CTGAAGAATTTGAAAGAAAAATCATCATGGCTTTCATTTTTTGATGATTCACTTTTCCTTTGGTTGAAAAGGGGTAATTAGTGGCAATATCTTATGTTTGGGAGATAAAAATAAGGAACCCTTTTGCTCTTTAAATTTGAATATATTTTGTTATTTTTGTTTTGTGATTGCCATCATCTTGATTCTAAAGTTTCAAACCCTTAAAGAGGACTTTTTCTTGGGTGGTAATAGGGTTTAGGTTGTTAAAGAAAGAAAGGTCATTAAAGATTCAATATTCCTGAATTTTGCCCCCAGTTGCATGCTTGGGTGCTATGATGATTGGCACAATTTGACCTATTATGCTAACTACCTGAAAGCATTAGTAGCATTAGCATATGAAATTGGGATTTTGTCAAATTGATGAGGAGCTTTTAGGCTTTGAAGCCTTAACAGTATACATGGGAGGTTGATATGGAGTGTTGTATTGACCACGAAGATGAGGAATATAACCTCTACCAGGTTAAGCTACAAAGTACAATCAGAATTGGAAATTACGCTATTTCACATCTGGAAATATAAACAAGATATTGAATTTGATTGAAGCTAAATGATCATAAAACTAATATGAATAATAGATAAATTAATATGTCAAAAATTAGAAAGAAGTGTGAATGTCACATAAGCAATTATTTAAAGAAACACTAATCATAACCCTCAAATGTACATAAGTCAAAAAAGATGCAATTCCTTACAAAAATAAAAAGGCTTCTTGTTTATTACATGAAGAAAGGTTGTTGAATTAACCATACAAACTAGATTGACTAACTGACTCCTGAAATCAACTTAATTCTGCCAGGTATTGTGCTAAAAATTGAAATCTATAGAGCTGCAATGAGCAATAACTATGAAGAACTAAGAATTAAATAGCATCTATCAGGTTGCATATATGGTTAACCATGTGTTAAATGATTAGAAACCCTCTCTTATTTGTTCCATGGAAGCCTGAAACTACCCCCTTTTTGGAAATCGTGGGTGGTTGCTTGAGAAAGTTAAATGCATCGTAATAAACTTGGTCAAAACTTCTTCCAGATCTTATCACTTGTCCTTGTTCTCCACTAAGGTTTGCCAATTCAATCATGCTTGCAAATATGTGCACTTCTTTAATGGTCTAATTGAAAACATAATTTTGATACAATGTATTTAAATTTTAATCCCTTAAATTTAATATTACTGTTTATTTTTATATAAATAAAATATAATTAAATATAAGTAAAATACATATATTTTCTGATATTTTAAAGAGTTAAAAACTGTATATTTAAAATTAGTTAAACCCTCAATTTGGTTCTTAAACTATTGTATGAATGCTCAATTTGGTATTTGAACTAAAAAAATCTCTAATTCGATCCTTAAACTATTATACGGACCCTGATTTGGCTCTTACTATTTATTGATTTAACCCCAAATTGATCGTTTCGTATAAAAAACAGTTGATATATCCGTTACTTAACAGTAAAAAATAATTATTTAACGGCTACATGTCTGTTATTGCCTTCATCCTTGTACTTTTGTTGGGTACTCCCGACTCCACTGACAACCAAGTTGTTCTTAACAACCATGATGCCCTGCCCATTCTGCAAATTTTCGAGAGAACTGACAGGCATTTTGTAACCAGAGCCTCTGACTCCAAACTTCTCTTCATTAAATCCCAGCGTAACATTAGCTATAGATAAATAAGTTCTATTTCCTTGATCCATATTGTTGGAGTATAAATCGATAAGAAACCTCATACATGATTTCTTTGCTTTGGAGAAAGTGTATGCCTTCTTGACCTGAACACTGTCATCAAAATGGATCTCCTGATTCACCATCTGAACATTTCCATTATCTCCCATCACCATTGAGTTACTATAACTAAACTTTTGAATGGCTTTAGTCATGATCTTGCCATGAGATGACTTAACCCAACCAGTTGAGGATATGGACCTGTTTGCTTTTGTCAAGAAAGTTCCATTTAAACCCGTGAAATCTGATGAATAGGAAATACCAAGAGGCATAACCTGATGCTGAAGAAGCTCCCTTCAGTATATGTGTTCTTTTCATCCAACCAGAGATGCAAATTGGCGTCAATATACCACACATTCAAAGCATTTGTAATGCGGAACTGCAATGTATGTGTTTTACCATCCAACATATTCCCTAAAAATGGAGTAATTTCAATATCATATGAAGGGAGATCAAATGATCCAATGCCAGAAATTGGTCTCCACAAGAGCGGATTAATCCCTCCTGTATAAACCATTGTAAAAGGCCAAATTGCACCAATCACATTTCCATCAAGAGTAACCACAACTTCCCCGAAAGGCCCATTTCCTGCTGGAGCAGTGCTGGGGGCACTCGCCTCCTGCACTCTCACTTTGATTGGGCCACGTTATTTTGATTTAAGAGGCTGCGTTCCAAAACCACCGAAGCAAGCTTACGTGGCCCAATTAAAGTGGAACTATCGGCCGGAGAGTGCAGGAGGCGAGTGCCCCAAGCACTGCTCTTTCCTGCTGTGTCAGTAAGATTATTAGCCAATAGATAGTCATTTGGTGGATTTCCATACCAAAACTCATCACTCTCATGGAATGACACATACACCTCTAACACAGCCCTAAACACATTTTGAGGAATTTTGATTTCCTTCCCCCCAGTATCTGTGGAATTCTCAATTTCAAACCACAACCCATCATTCAATGGAAAATTCCGTGGAATGGGTAAGATTAAATCAGCCCTCGAGCCATACCCAGATGCCAAGTTCTCCAAATTGCGCTCAAAGTCATTGAATTTCTTCTCAGCAGGGTAATAATAAACAGTTATGTCCACGTGATAAACGCCAGTACAAGTTCGATCAACTAAATTACCCAAATAAACAGCAAGACTTTGTGTCTCATTCTTAACAAGCAAAGAGTAATACCTTCTTATGGCCCTCTTGACACTCCACACAATCCCAGTAGCTCTTGGCTCTGCAGTGCAGCTCCTAAGAAGCACGACCCCATCCAGCCAGATCCCAAAAATCCGATCAAATTGCCTTCCTTTGCAGGTGGCATTCCAGTCAAGGACAATTTTAGAGAAATCGTGAGATGGACAGTGACAAGGTGGGGTGTAGTTTGCTAGAACTGGGGGTTTCCCATATTGTAATTGCACCAAAACCAGATGTCCTTTTTCAGTCCGCGTCTGCACTCTGGATTGACCTGCAAAGCCCCGAGATGGATTTCGGAGTAGACACTCCGATGCTTAAGTTAGCAATAATTGGGGCTACCTTTAGAGCGGAAAAAAAAGGAGCTTAGGGTTGGTTTCAATTACCTTTTTGACGTGTCCACTGGAGGGTATTTATAGGCTCTAGTGAGGAACCCACTTGGCATGCCAAGCAAGATAGTCGGAGCCTGACGTGTATCCAAACGGTTATTTCGAGACCGGGAATTTGAGAGATATTTAGATGCAAAGACGCCCATCATACTGCTGTGCAGCTTATTATAAAGAATTAGGTGCGGGCATGCTTATTGTTGCTGTCATGCAGCTATTTGAGCGGGAATCTTTGGAATTATCCTTCACTTCGGTCATAAAAGAATTACTGTTCTACGTCCGAGGTTGGGCACCTCGGACCTGCCCTTACACTATTCCCCC